AGGGCGCTCTGGCTGGATGTGTCCTGACCTCAGCACTGAGCAGGCCTGTGGCTGTTGCCCAGCCCAGCCCACCCCTCCTGGTCCATCTTGGCCTCTGACCATCAGGGTCCCTGCCTCATGCAGGTGGAGGCCTCAGGACGCCGGGGAGGGGAGGGGTCTGAGGCTGGAGGGCCCCTTGGAGCCTTGGGGCCGAGGGGGGCTGTCAGGATCAGCCAGGGTGGACCCACCAGGTCAACGGATGAAAATGTTTCTTAAAGGGGGCCCTGGGCCAGGGAACGTGGGTACCAGGCTGGTGATGCGGGGCAAAGGGAGGGCACACTTGTTACAACATGGATTTGGGGCCCCTCCCTTCCTGAAACCGAATCCTGGGGCCTGGCCGGGTAGCAAGCTCCCCAGGCCTGTCCTGGGCCAGGAGTGAGAAGAGGCCCTGGGTCTGTGGGATGTGGTTTTTGGAGGGGTGTGTGTGTGTTTTTTGGGGGGGTATGGAGGAGAGAGCCTGTTCCAGCCAGACCCTCCATCTCCTCCAGCCCTGAGACTGGGCCTCAATCAGTCCCAACAGGGTGACGGGCTTTGGTAAAACCACTTGAGCTCAGGGGTTCGGCAGATTTCTACCCGCGGCTCTGAAGCACACACGTGGAGACAGAAGAAGAGACGGTGCTTTTGCCATTTTCCCTTAAACTGTGTGTCATCAGGTCAGAATGGAAACCTGGCTCCAGGTGGGAAGCGCGTCTGAACCCCCAGCCAGGTGTTTGCCGCCACCTGGTGGCAGCGTCCCCAGAGCCTGTTTTCGAGACGGTGAGGCTCCTCACCCCGGGGCTTACCTGTGAGCCTGCGGGGAGCTGACTGGGGGGAGGACGTCCCCAGGGGGCGGGGGCTCAGACGCGACGCTGTGCCTCGGGGAGTTTCGAAAGGATGGCCGGTTTGCTGGGGTCGGCTGCGGGGAAAACGGGCCACCTGGGCTTGGTGTGGGAAGGGGGTCAGGCCCGGAGGGTGGGGAGGACAGCTGCCGCCCTGAGGGTAGCGGGTGGGGGTGGGCTGAGGAGGCGAGGGGGCCGCCAACGTCCCACAGGGTGGGGCTCTGACCTCGTCACCAGGGGCGGAGGCCAGTCCCTCCACTTCCCAGGGAGCCTCCTGCAGCACGTCCAGGGGTGGCTCCCAGCCACTGTGGAACTTGGGCACATAGAGGAGCATCTGTGGCTCCCGAGGCCACTCGGAGCTGAGGGAGGGGGCGATCGGGGGTGAGCCATGCCCACCCACCAGAACCCGCACCACCCAGAACCTCCAGACCCACCCTGGTCTGCGCCCCCTCCCCTGCTCCTCCCTGCCCGGTACGTACCGGGGGCGTGTCCAGGTCTCCCCCAGCAAATCCCACAGTGCCATCTCCTTGGGGACTAGGTGGCCCCGCAGGAAGCCCACGGCGTCTCGGGAGAGCAGGGGAGTGATGGCGGAACGTGCGATGTCCGGGCCACCACAGGTGCTGACGATCTGGGGCACAACCCAGTTCAGGGGCATCACAGCCTGCGGACCCCGCCCCGCCCCACCC